TTTTTTTTAAACATGCTGATAACTTCAATTGCAGTTCTTTTCTCTGTTCAATGGGTTCAACATTAAGTCTTTGTCTTGTTGCCTGTTGACATGGAGGTTTGTGTGGAAGCAGGACACCATCATCAGCCTTCCTTTGACTTCTAAAGAGCCACTTTACTGGCTGGATTCCTTCCCTACTCTACTAGCCATTTTGTCCAATGCAGGAAGAAATCCTTTTTTCTGCCCTGGAAACAGCACCCACCAGGGCAGCTGGCAACATCAGTACTGGAGGTGGCAAGTCTGCATTCTAAGTCAGGGAAGCCATGCGAGGGTGGGAGGAGGGAGTGCCACATTCTACACCTACTTCCGGACGGTACGCTGGGGTGCTTGGGCCAATTGATTCACCCAGTTTTGCAGAGGGTGTGGGATGAGCAACAGAGGAGCCACATGTCCACTGTTCTAACACGATGAGTTCAATTGGTCACTTGGGGACACCATGGAACTGGGACAGTGCATGCACCATCCTGCCATCCATGTGGGTTGGCACCATGGAACCTAGGTAAACGTTAGCAGCAGCCCCCGCCTGCTGTGGGACCAGCCTATACTTGGGCTGTGGCAGCCCCTGTGCACAGTCCTTTGCCCAAGCCTCTGGCCATCTCCAGCTCGATATACTTAGGTGTAGATCAGCTATAAGGAATTCTACTGCGCTCAAGTCCTGCCACAAACTGCCCCAGAGCAAATGCACAGTTTCAACTGCTGCTTCTTACTTGATTATCAGGGGTACCACCAAATTCAATCCATGGCTTCTTGATTGTCACTTAGACATTAATTATATAAATACCATCAAAAGTAACATTTTTGAAAGATTGAATAAGGGTGAATGAGGCCAAAACTCACTTCTGGAAAGTTCATGAGACATACACAGTGTATGCATGGATGCGTTAAACCAGAACTTTTAAACATAATTTTCTCATTTCTGCTCCTGCAAATATTTACAAGCCTAGGAAACACTATACAGGGTCACTATGAGCTGGAACCAACTTGATGGAACTTAACAATGCCCACTATATGTGTGTGTACATTATTTACACACTAATGGGCAAACTCTGCATATCTGGAGAGTAACATATATTTACATATAGTAAGCTTTTGTCATCTGGTAAAACTGTATCCTAATGTTATTCAAGGTGTTAACTATGGTAACTGAATAATTTGAGAGAAAGTTATAGTCATGGGACAATGCGAAAACAGAATCCACATTTGTTACTTGATCCCACGACTGTCTTTGTTAGCAAATCTCTCTCACCAACTGAAAGGTGTAGCTGAACTGCTACTAGAGTGGCTGGACTCCTCAATATGCTCAAGAGCCTCACTCATTGAAAATTGACTGAATATTCCATCATCTGTAATTCAAGGAAATGAATTCCTGCCATGAAATAATTGTTAACTATAAAAGTAAATTAACTTTAGGATACTACTACCTAGAAAGTAAACAGCAAAATATTATCTTTAATCTAAAGTAGGAATTTTTATTTTAAATGACAAACCTAGAGTTTACATAAATCAAAAACCAAACCCACTGACACTGAGTCAGTTCCAACTCATAACAACACTCTTGAGAGGTTTCTGAGATTGTAAATCTTAAAGGTAGCAGAAAGTGTCATCTTTCTCCCATGGAGTAGCTGGTGGGTTTGAACTGCTGACCTTGTAGTTAGCCATCCAGTGCTTATATAACATACAGCACCAAAGGATTTAAAATTAAAGTGCTTTTCCCTTCTTGAATCATATCCATTCCTCAGAATGGGAATGTAATACTAATAGACTATAAAATGAAAATTTTGAACACTTAAATGTTAATGGAGGGACACAGGTTTCCTACTATGACAAAAACAAGAAGGCAGGTTGTTTAGGAATACATGGGCATCAATTGTACTTTCTTACATTGCCTTGCCATCTTATAACAATAGCTGGTTCAAAAATTAGGAAGCTCAAATGTTTATAAACCTTCAAAATATCTCCTGTATTCACTTCTTAAAATCATTTTTTAAAATCTTTTATTAATGCTAGATTGTCATCTAATCACATGAAAATTACAGCAACAGAGCTCAATTTTCATCAATCATTCACTCTGCATATAATCACCAGCTGGCTCTTCTGTAAACACTTGCTTCTTCAATAACTTATCATGGTTTACATCTCCCAACCTCATGAAGTTAGAACTCCTCTCACAAGTTTCAAGCTTACCCCATTCAATCTTATCTATTCTTCATACAAATTATAAGAATAGTCAACTCAGTTACTCTTTCCAATGTTCCCAAGTAATCTATATTCATCATTGTCTCTGTGGAGTGCTGATGTGGCATTGCAGGATAAGCACTGGATGTTGTTGTTATTGTTGTTATTAAGTGCCATCGAGTCGGTGCCCACCCAGAGCAACCCTGTATAGGGACTCCAAGGAGCAGCTGGTGAGCTTGAACCACCGTTCTTGCAGTTCAAATGGCTTTGCAGTCTGGTTCATTAACCCACAGCACCACACCAGGGCTCCGACAAGGACTGGACAGCTATCCACAGAGTTAGTGCCTCAAACCTACCCAGCTGTTCTTTGGAAATCCTATATATGGTTTTTATGAGTTGGAATCTACTTGATTGCACTTAACAACAACAGCATTCATTATTTCTATATCTTAATTATGCGGAAGCACAGTGGCTTCATAGGATTGCATTGGATTGCAAACCACAAGATTGGTGATTTGAGTGCACCAGTCTCTCCATGGGAGAAAGATGAAGTTTTCTACTCCTGCAATGATAGAAAGCTTCAGAAACCCTATACAGGGCCACTATAAGTCAGAACCAACTTGATGGTATGTAATAACAACAGTCTTAATTACAGATGCAGAAGAAATTACAAGGCTAGTACAGAGGTAGAGAACTTTCTTTAGCCATTCTTTTAGGATACGTCTGGTTTCGTGGAAGAATTCTTGCCTTCCATGAAAAAGACCAGGGTTTGATTCCTGGACAGTGCATCTCATGTGCAGCCATCACTTGACTGTCAGTGTGGGTGTGAGTGTTACTGTCATATTGATACTGAATAGGTTTCAGCAGAGTTTCCAGACTAAGATGTATTAGGATGAACAGCCTGGTGATCTTTCAAAAATCAGCCCCCAAAACAAATCCTATGGTACACAAGGGTCTACTCCAGAACTGATTGTGTAGATGGCATAGGACTGAAAATCATTACAATCTGTTGTACATAAAGTCACAATGAGTTGGGAGGCCTACTCAACAGTTGCTAACAATTGCAGGTAACAGATTCTCTTCCATTTTTATCCTGGTAACTTGTTGATTCGTCTTCATTTCTGAAAATAATGTTGGATACAAATTTCAAAGTTAACTATTCTTTTTTTGCAGCACTTGAATAATATTTTATTACTTCCTTCTATGCTCCATTGTTTCTGATGAGAAGTTCACCATCATTTGCATTGTTTTGCCCTTGCTGCTTTCAAGATTTTCTGTCACTACATTTGGGAAGTTTTCAGTCATCATTTCTTGCAATACTTTTTAAATCTCACTCTATTTTTTCTCTTTCCTGATACAAGTGTTTGATCATTTGCTATAGTCCCATAGGTTCCTTAGGCTCTGTTCATATCTTGACAATTTTTTGTTGAACATATTGGGAAATTTCTATTGTACTACGTCAATTCTTCAGATTTTCCTGCTCCCTCCATTCTACTGTTGAGCCCATCCACTGAGCTTTTTATTTTGATCATTCCAATTTTTAGTCACAAAGTTTCCTTTTT